GGACGGAGCGAGGCGCCGACGACGTAGGAAGGCGGCGCCTCGCATACCCGCGCACCAACACGGAATGGAAGGACGGCGCACCCGCGGGCGGGGGGGGGATGTCACAGCTGGCATTCCCTCCCCTTGGGTACTCGCGGCTGCGCCCCCCCCCCCCCAATACCGCCGGGTCCTCCTGATCAACGGAGGGCCCGGTCGGGGGGAGATAGGGGGCGCCTGGTCAGGCGGGGGAGGCACGTCGCAAGGCGCGACTCTCCCTCCGTGACACGCAGTCACACCAGGCGCCTCCGGGAGGGGGGCGGGGCGGCCGGCCTGCAAGGGCGGGCTCTCAGGCCGCTCACCCCCCTCCCCGAGAATGGCGACTCCTGACCGAGAGGGGCAGAGCGGTAAATTGACCCCTCCGCCCCGTAAACCTCGGTCGGGAACGTTGGGGCGGACCGGGCCCGGCCAACAGAGCCCCAACAAAGGAGGTATGGCCGGACGGGGGGGCCTCCGTCCGGTCACTGAGGATGGCAAAACGGGTCGGGGGAATCCTTCCCCACCGACCCGGGAAAGGGGCGGGTGTAAGTTCTACCCCGCCCTGCGGCCGAGGACGTCCTGAAAGTTATGCGCAAGCGGTTCCCGGGATGCCCTCACTATAGCCGCATGGGGCCCGGCAGAGGTTTTAGTGGGTAGGCCCCCTCCGGTGGTTACTTCCGGAGGGGAAGAGTCCCACACTACCCCTGGGAAAGTCCCGTATTTCTCGGGGGTGTGCGTAACGCATTTTCTCTGCCTTAAAAAAAAAAAAAAAAAAGTTTTCGACAGAACGTGCAGAAGATGGTTCGAAAAATTTGAAGCAGGCGATTTCGATTTTAATGATAAACCACGCTCTGGAAAACCATTTCTAATCAATGACGATATTGTTAGAACTATTATACAGCAAAATCCTTTTTTACAACATCGGAGATTGCGGAAAAGCTGGGAAGAGGTCATTAATAACGATGGAAATTATATTATTCAGTAAATATTAATAAATATATTGAAAATGTATTATTTTTTTTTTTAATTTCAAAGCGGGCAGAACTTTTTGGTAGACCTAATATTTAGATTAGTCAAGAAAGGTTGTTTAGAATTTTAAAAATAATAATTTGATAATAAACAAGAAAATATCATGTGAAATTGATTTCATTAATCGATCTAAAAGTCAAATAATTATTGTATTTCTGAATATTTGACACAGCTTTCTTCTTGGCTCAGTTTTTTCATTATACAATTTTCATTATACAATTTTATTTAACTCTTCATTTTTCAATGTAAAAATACATTACAAATTAAACAACTTTGTCAAGGTCTTTCTTTGCTTCGAAACAATGAGAATACTACTTTTCAAATTGCACAACATTTGGTAAAAATGACATTTCTTTTTGATGAATATACATATGTAGTATACAGAACGTAAATGAAATAGATTCTTCTATTAAGTCACTATATTATTATATATTATATGTATTATATATATTAGTATATTTACTTCTTGTTTTCCTAGGAACAGAAATAGGTGTACGTGTGGGAACAGATAATTCTTCCAATATCTCAATATTATTATCTAAGGCTATTGTTTCGTCCTCACCAGATATTGTGGGAGAGTCTTGTATATTATTCATTTTGTGTACATTGTCGGAATGACACGACAGGATCACAAATACTTTATCGAGTATGTTTGTGTTTCCTGATGCTAGCAACTCATTTATATTCTCCTACACAAAATAGCGATGAGATTATTATATTATGGTATATCCAGAATATAGGAAAATTTAAAAGACCATTGATTTATACAATGCAGTATAGAAAATAAAATGTTAATTAATATTTAGCATATCACCTGCTCTTCAGGGAAGCTGTCGACAGAATTATTCACTCCTTCAGCAAAAGCGTAGCCAATTATGCCAAATATTTTTTTTGTCTAATTCTGTTAAATTGTTTTCAACAGGTCTATTGCACGAGCAGCACGTAGTTTTGAGGCCTTCTCTGATACTTTTGTTTTATTATCTCTCCATGTCTACAATAAGCATACTTTAATATATTTCAGGACACCCAGTTCTGCTGCATTAAATTAATTATAAATATATTTACTGTTTTCCAGGAAGCGACGTCTTTCTCTTTTCCACCTTTCGACATTGCATTTAGTTGGTTGACTAATTCCTCCCAACTTCCTTCAAGGTTGGCTCGCCCTTGCAAAGAAGTGAATTTGCCAGTTGCGACATAGGGATGAAGTACAAAATAGCCCACCATTGCCTCTAATTGCTCCTTTGTTGCTCGTCCTTGTCTCTTTTTTTTTACTGGTGGTTCTGATGACCTATCACAAATATATACAATCTTAAGATATACAATCTTAAGATATACACATAGTGTTATTTATTCAGCTATGACTTTACAAATATTCAAATGCTCTCTAATGGCCAATTTATTCACCTGTGGTTAATTTTGAACTAAAACAAAATGGTCGAAACTTATGAATTTAAGACAATATCTTATCTTAAAGTTTTTATCTTGAGGTAACACATAACTATTTATTGTATGTTATCTCAAGACAAAAACTTTGAACATAAGACATTGTCTTAAACTAACAAGTTTCAGTCATTCTACTTTGGCCTTTTATTTACAGATTATTCCATTGTAATTGATCAATCATATTTATCATTGATACGAATTAATCAACTAAGATTGACACTTTACTTCTAAATAAAGTTAACCGGGTTTAAGACATTGAATATAAATCTGAATCGGCAAAATACCACTGAAACTAATGACTTACTGTTTGAGATTTAGAGGGTGTATAAATTGTTTATTTACTGCAAAATAAAACTGTATAGTCCACTATGGCATGCTTACATTTTGCACATATCATCGGTATGACTCGGTTCACTTGTAATATACGTTCTTCTTCTTCTTCTTCTTCTCAATTTTAGGTAAGAAGAGTTGTATAAAAACTCTCCTGCAACCAGTTGAGTGATAAAATGCAGAGTTATGGCAAAAGGACGTATTGAAAGCAATATGTCGTTTCCAAAAACAATGAAGATTTGAATAAAACACGTCTGCCATCGATAGATCCCGAACTTGAACTTTGTAACGTACAAACATTACAAATATTGAGGTTAAAATTTTCAAGCACAATGGAATGAGCTATTTCTCATTGGTCCAAAAACAAAACTTCCATAGTGCTTTTATGAACGCATCGATGTTGTTACTGACATCGTTTGATGCAGTTTGTAACGATGTACAGTCGCTAACTGTAGTTACGGAATACCAACTTCCCCAGACTGTCGGTAGCGTAAGCGACGATTTTCGATAACGGTAACTTAACGTCGGTTTTCGTTATCTTTTTAACGACTTACAGAATAGGCCTACTGCTCCGTCAATTTCTTGATATCTTTCTTCTAACTTCACACAAATATTACTAAATGTGCAAGTTGCTGCGCCAAAATCCGGACAAAATTTAATTTGAAATTCTCGTCGTTCTATACCACTGGTAGATGTCGCGATTAGCGTTCAAATAGCTTGACGCATGTACTAAACCATCATAACCTCGAAAAAGTCGCAATGTTGAATCCAAGTGCGGAGTATAACCGAAGAGCCGCGATTATCGAAAGTGTTCGCGCTGGGCGCTCGGCGACAGAAACCATTCGGTTCTTCGGGTACCCGAGATCGACTATGTATGATGTCATTGTAGTACAATGAGTCGGAGAAATTCAACGAAGATTTTGCAATACCGACGAGGAAAACTCACTCGAAGGAGCGTTGTCAGAACGCCCGACATCATTCAACGGGCTCAGAAGCTGATTTTTGAGGATCCAGGGCAGTCGATCCAAAAATTGTCGTTGGTTGTTAGTGTGAGCGAAAAAACTATGCGTCGAATCGTCGAGGAGGACCTCCGCTACAAGTCTTACA